TGGTTTTACCTTGCGTTGTGTAATTCAGTGGGTTTTCAGTCCGAGTTCAAGTTCGCGCTGTTCGATTCCGGTTCTTATTCGATTATTACAATTTGTCATGTACCCACCTGTAGCACACATCACATTCGATACCTTTCACGACGCGCTTCTCACAACTAACGCTTAGACATGGAAATGCTGCTCGTGGCATGTCAAAAACGAACGATAAAAACGTAATAGAAAGACGGATTATAGCACCGGAAAACTTCGGAAAAACGCTATGCGTAAAATGTAGATACAGATACCAAAAATTAACACTGTGTATTTAATGCGGCTCTTAAAGAGGTCGCAGTAAATATACTAAACACGCACTTAGACAAAGTTAGTCTGAGTAAAATGTGAAATATCGTAAGATATTCCACGGAAATATTACCAAAACGATTTCCAACGAGAGCACTTCAAAATTTCAAACCGCGCGCGAATGAACCTCAAGGTCAGAAGAAACCTCAGTCGCATCCGAGTAATGCCACCGACGGAAATTGACAATAAGATGTAAACAAACAAATAATGATTCCCTTATTCCTGTGATTTCAATTTGGGTTTGACCCAAACCTTTGTTTTGCTGCACAACTTTTCGTCCTTGAGCGTTCTTGGGCGGCCGCAATTGTACTTCTCGGAACCTTTTTCGCCTTGCGTCGTCAGCTTGTGTGCATTCAAGATGCCTAACATTAAGTTAGCAAGCTCTGATGGTGAGATTTTTGACGTTGATATAGCGATTGCTCGACAGGCGGTGACAATCAAGACCATGCTAGACGGTAAGTGCACTTACTATAGTACACTCCCTTAAAAATTTTAACACTACGTTCTCCGCCACAAGACCGTTCTCGTAGTATCATACTGATTCGAGGGCGTAGATGTTCAATAGTCACCCCTGTTTTTTTATATTTGGACAGTGATATGAAACAATAATATTTGTATTGCAAATTATTTTAATGGTTTCTTAAGTGCCGTTAGTTGCATTCTTCTCCAAGTTTACATTCTTCAATTCGATATCAAAGTTGTTTAGTGACGCGCAATAATCTGTAATGGCTTGTTTCTCGTATCGTCGTACTTTCTACCCTATTTCAATCCTTGTCTTTTCTTTTGCCTTCACACCGTGCTGGTGATAGACGTACATACTATTCTGTAACTTTAGGGGATACGTTGCGACAGTTCTTAATCTCCTAGAAGGTTGCAATCTCCAGGTCTTAGTTTAAAATCTCAGGAAATTTTACATCCTAAATGAAAGCCTTTGTAAGAAGGTTCACTTGTGTGTGCACCACATTTCGCAAAAGGTTCCATTGTGGCTCCAGACAGCGTGCTATTCATTTGCATCAGGAAATAGTCCCGACTGATACGCAACACGGGAGGTCGGTGAACCACAGTTAGTAGAACAATCTGCGACAAAAGTAATCAAGGTATTCACATTAGGAAACAACGGCTTGACCGGTAGTAGCAGTAGCAGTTTAGTTGGTCAGGTACTGACCAAACTATATCAATTCTTTCACCTAGAGGGAAGAGGGAAGCAGCCATTCAAAGGGCTGCCGTACAACACATGGGGAAAGTTAGGTGATGGTGGGATTCGAACACTCGTCCTCCAAGGTGATATTTGTTGACATCACCACCGGGCGCCATTGTTTACGTGCCGGAATGCATGAAGAGTGCACAAAAAGCACTTGACACTCCGTTCGGTATGTGCTTTGCACCTTCAAAGTGCAAAGTGATGCTACAAGACTGGGTGTCACCGGGTTCCGTTCTGACACTGGACGCTCAGGGGTTAGCTGAATTTTACTTCTCGTTCACAGGTAGTTGCGAGACCAACGGCAGTAGCGCATCAAAGGGGATAGCCACGTTGAGGCCAGCAGATGATGTGGAGACGAGGCCTGAAGAAGTGCAGAGCAATTAGGTAGAGTAGGTGTCTCCGGTCTTCCCAGTTGGGGTTCAAAGACTCCGTAACCGGATGGTTGGAGGCCCTAAAGGTCATGACAGCAAATCGACAGCACAGATGATTTTACCTTCACTTATCAGACCATAACGCTTGAAACAGTGCGTATGCATATTTGGACTGTGCTCTCCGTGTGTTGACCACAGAAGTTCGCTTTCTTTTCTCGTCCTTAATAATAGGTTCAATCCCTGTCCTTACACATTTTCACTTACCTTTTATGCATTATGAGTTTGGAAATGATCGTTGAAGTTCGCTTTACTGTATCACGCTGATGATGATTTAGCTGAAGAGCCCTACAATCACTAATTGCACTTCACTGGACTCCCACACTCGCAATGGAACGTTTCCTTCTGATAAGGAAGTCTTTGAGCCTAACCCCTCGTAAAGCCGTATCCTAATAATAACTAAAGTGCTCTTTATAACTAGCAACTTAGCGTAGCTAGTCAAACGAAAGTTGCAAAAGCGCATCTGCTGATCTGGATGGTGGTTACTTCTTCATGACTAAGGAGGCGTTTCTTAAGGGCAGATCACACAGATAACCTCAGTATGGTCGGGGGTGGGTGTCTAGGATTAGGGCTGGTCACGCTTCCCTTGCACTCCGCGAAATGCTCCCATACGACCGAGCGTCTCAAATAGCCGTTCTCACTGCCTTCTCGTGGCGGGGGTGTTTTCAACCAAAGTGAGAGGACAGAGCCGACATCCGGGGTTGGCGGACCACCGGTAATTCACATGTGCTACGCATGTCACCAGATAGGTTGCCAAGGCTGGTAGCGATTGGAAAAAAACAAAGGGCGGTCAAGCTAAGACCTGGCATGAGGGTATGAAAACCCTGACCAGGAGACTAGGTCACATAGGCCCCGTTA